ATATATTAAATATTAAGTACCCATTCTTCCACTGATAAAAGAAATAAACCCTAACACCAACGCCACCGGGAAGAAGAAAACAACCATAACACCACACTCTTTATTGTTGTCCAGTATCATCTCAATGTCTCATTCTAAGGGTATAAAATCTCGATCTGGAAATTTGTGTGCTTGTGACAGTCGTATGGTTTCGTTCCTATGCAAGAGGGGTCAAAATAAAGAAAGGTTTTTTCGAAGATGTCCAAATTATTTGAGTGGTGAAACATTTAATTTTTTATATCGAATGATGAACAAAAATTGGAAGACTAGAGTACTATGATATTAGAGTTGGAATTTATTGGGTATTTGAAGGTTATGTATACAGATTCAAAAAAAGAAGAACAAGAATTTGAAGAACAAAGTGAAGTTAGAGATATTTTCTGGAAATTTGAAGATGTTATGTTTTCTTATCTCCTTTTTGTTTAATATTTATTTTGTTATAAAATATAATAGTTGAATTAGGGTTTGAAATTTGAAAGTGTTATGTTATCTTATATCCTTTATGTTTAATATTTTATATACTTTGTTATGAAATGTAATAGTTGAAGATGCAGTGAACTTGACAGAAATATGCAACTAACGGACCGTTTCTTACAAGTAAGTTCATCGCAATAATTTTCAGTTACAATAATCCGTTTTATATATTTTGAAGTTTAAGATGATAGGTTGAATTGAATGTTTAAGTTGAATGTTTAAGTTGATAACATTAAGAGAGTTAAGCAGATTAAAACTTCATTACATAAGACTTTTATTACATGATCAAAAACCATAATCAAATCTAAATCCTCTCGCTGAGATAAAATTAGACCAATCATAATCAGTCTCATCATCATCATCAAAATCGGAGGGAAAAAAACATCATTTTCCTTCCCAACCTTCTTTTTCTTCTCCTCACCCTGAGAGCTCTCGTTAGTCTAAACACAACACCCTCTACAACAACATCTTGAATTTGAGGGTGATTTTACACCACAACACCGGTCTCTACAATAACATCTTGATTCTGAGGCTAATTTGGCACCACAACACCCTCTATAACAACATTTGGATTCTCAGCATTGTTGGTAGCTTGAGCAGGATAACACATATTGATTCTTTTGGATGAAGTTGTTTTTGTGTCTTGGTTCTTCTGCTTTTATGTTGTTCCTTCTGATTCTTCATATTCTTATCTTGAAAGTTTAAAAACCAAAGTTGCTCATCATTGTTTCTTTAATTCTATACGCTTTCTTTTTTCTTGGAAGTTGGAAAGATTGCATATCTCGAGCTGTTCAAATTTTATTATTTACTTAATGGAATTGTGTACTTGTAAGTATAAGGTTTGATATAATTTTTTTAAAAATTGGTTTAGTGATGATTCTCGTATGAAAATTTGATATTTATTCATATACTATATCATATGGTTAGTATGAATAACCGTTGTTATAAGGCACGTGCTTTCCAGATAACTACGATGGTCACTGGATCGTGATTGTAAGTATTGTATATACAACTACATGCTACATAACAATGTTTGGTCCTGCGTGGTTATATATATTTCCCAACCGTTGTTAAATGTCTTTTCCATAGTAGTGTATAAAATGTTTTTTTATCCAATTTTAGAATTTTTTAAAATGAGAAGAATTAAATATGAATTTTTTAAATTTCAAAAGATATTGATAAAAGTAATGAAAATCTCGACTTAGAAATCTAATTTTGAGTTTCTTTTTTTCTGAAGAACTTTTTATAACGTTTTAAACATATCTGCAAAATAATCATTCAAAAATACACATCAGTTTAACAATAGGGACTAAAACTACGTGCATAATAATTTTGTAGGGACTAAAACATGTCATGTTATTTTATATGGACCAAAAATAGAATTTGGTAATTTATAGGGACCAAAAACATATTTAACCTTTTTTTATTTTATGCAGTTTTCTTTTTATTTTAAATTGACAAATTAATTTTGGTATTATTGAAAAAACAATAGTAAAGGCTCATATATTGAAATAAAATATATTTTTTTTAAAAAGGACAAGCCCTAAACCCATCAAGAATTTGTGAATCTAAAGATTGACAAGTCTAGCCTATTATGGACAAAATCATGTCTTTATATCTAAAGAAGTGGACTCAAAAATGGTTAGAGATGTCAAAGATGAACATAGATTAGTCAAAAAATATGTGCAAGCATTCTCTTCTCTAGAGAAAGCTTGCACCACAAGAGTAGAGTCTGATTTAATCCAAAACTTGTCCCAACCCTTGTCTGTCGCAATTTCCATAGATTTTAGAGCAGTCGAAAATTCAGCAAGAGAAGAAGAAGATCAATTAACAATATCAGCAGAGGCAAGAATGAAATATCCATCATTATCACGAAAAATACCACTGAAATGGGATTTAATGGTGGAGTTAGAGAAAGATCCATCATAATTACACTTAATACAATCAAGAGGAGGGGTGCCACGGGACTTCTATGATTGTAGGAGCATTGGGAGGGTTGATTTTGAAAGCTTTGATGACCTTGAAGTCATCTAAATGGAAAGAAAAGGTAGAGTTGGAGTTGCTACCGGCCAAAAGAACCTAGCTTTTAATTCTGTGGATGGAATAAAAGAAGTTAGGCTTCAAGTTCCTGAATCTGACCCAGTTCCGGGTTTCTCAAAGGTTGTTGATGATGAATGTGATTACAGCTTTAAGAATAAGGGAGAATTGATTTGATCTGTTAGCACAAAGCCACCAATATTCTAAAGTTGAGGGGGTTGTTTATATTAATAAATCTATAGAACCATCACCAAATCTTCTTAGAAAAAATATAATAAAAAACAAGTGTTTGGTGGATTCTTCCTCCTTACTGCAGATACTACACATTAAGGAAAAGATGCAGCCACAAATATTGAGATTATCATTTGTTGGAAGCTTGTCTAACATCAGCTTTCAAATGAACAAAGATTTGGATAGGAGAATGTCCTTACACAAAATAGATTTGGCCCAGGGATGGATCAGGTAGGGGATTTATGTATGTAAGCATCTTTGGAGGAAAGGTTTACCAAAGAAGAAAAAGGTCAAATGATAATGTCCTCTTGATTGTTATTATTCAGATGTATTTGCAGTAGTCTCTGGTGCACGGAAGGAAGTAGAGTGTGCCATGTACTAGGAATTTCTCAATGACCTACAACAATAAAATCAGAAACTCTAGAATTATCTTGGATTCCTTGAGAGTGAAGGAACTCCAAATTGATACTTAGGATCAAAAGAGCACCACACCAAGAATCTTGAAAAAAATTGATGGAATTTCTTGAGCCAAGAGACCATAGGGTAGAGAAAATGTGGTGTCTTGTGCCTCCATAGGGTTTGATGACTCTAGCTTTAAAAATTGAGACCCGATATTCTTGACTAGAAAGTAAGTCCCAACCAAGCTTGAGATTATCAACTTCATTAAGCATTTTAAGAGACCTAATGTGAAGACCTCCATGGACTAAAGGTTTGCATATTTTGTTCCATGCCACCATGACCAACTTACTTTTATCAACCACCCCACTCCATATGAAATTTCTTGTGGCTCTTTCCATTTTTTTATGCAATGTTGCAGACTAAGAGTAGATGTTCATAGTATGAGTAAGCAGGTTATGAACATAGGACTTGACAAACATCACTCTACCTGCCATAGAGAGAATGGACCATTTCCAAGCAGTCAATTTTGAAATGAGCTTATTGACTATGGTTTATAAGTAAGATGTCTTGATTCTACCTTTAAAAAGATGGACTCTTGGGTAATTTAAGGGTAAGGAGCCCCTAGTAAAGTCATGCATAAGAAGGAAATGGGATAACTTGTCTTGAGAGATGAATCTAGAGTAGATGAGGGATTTTGAGGTGTTAACTACTTGACTAGAATCAAGGGAGTGTCTGAAATAGCTTAACAAAAGCCTTAATATTAGAGACCTTTCATTTGCAAAAAAAGAGAATATCATCAGCATTCATGGTGTGAGAGGGTATGCAGATGTCCTTTGTACTCTTGATGTGACCCGAAAATCCCATGGCCACCAAGCTATGCAAACTTCTACTTCGGACATCTTAAGAAAGACAAAACGATAGAGGGGATAGAGGGTTACCTTTTCTGACCCCTTTAGTTTAGTTGAAGAACTCATTGAGGGAACATTAATAGAGACAGGTAAGTAAGTAGAGGTAAGAATGGAATGGATCCAGTGACAGAAGGTGGACTTGAAACCAAACCTCTTAAGGAAATGAATTAGGAAACTCCAAGAAATGGTATCAAAAGACTTAGTAATGTTTACCTTAAGGGTAACTTTTCCCCCAAAAAAAAGTGTTGTCGGGGTGGTTGATAGCTTTAGAGACAAGACAAATGCGGTCTTTGATGCATATACCTTGTATGAAGGCTTTTTGCTCCTTGGACCCTAATGCATGTATGAAGATAGCTAATATATCAACAACAAAAATTGTGATGATTTTAAATTTGAAGTAGGCTGAGGTTATAGGCCTCATATGATTTATGGCATCAACATCTTTTATTTTTAGGATCAAAATGATTGTGTTAGAGTTAAACTTTGGAAGAATCCATCCACTTTTGAAAAACTCGAGAACAGCATCATAGACATCCAACTTGACAATGGTCCAATATGTCTGGGGGAAAAATCCTCCAAAACCATCAAGGCTTGGAGCATTATCTTGGTTCAGACTGAAAACTTCCATTCTTATCTCTTCGTGAGAAGGAATCCTTGTGAGATGGAAGTTCATGTTTGAATCCACTAACCAAGGAATGACATAATTCGCTATGTCAAAATCTTAAGGAGAACTTGAAAAGAAAAAAGGTCAGTGAAATAAGAAACAACATGCCTTGCAAGGTCTCCAGGATAAAAGATGATTCTATCTCCATCTTTGAAGACAAAATAGTGATTTTTGAGTTCTTAATTCTTTCCAATCTTTGGAATAAGGAGGTGTTTCTATCTTCCTTAAGGTGCCACTTGACTTTAGATTTATCCAACCAAAATCTTTCTTTCTTCTAAAGATTTCTCAAGGTACAACTGAGCTAATTGTTCCTGATCTCTAAGATGAGGGTTGTTGCCATCAAGAAAAATCTTATCCTCAATCTTGGCTAGATTATTAGAAGAATTCTTGACAATGACATGAGTGTTACCAAATATATCCCAATTCCTGGATTTCAAACTATTTATGAGCAATTGCAACTTTTTGGTGAGGACATGCATTGGACATCCAACAATTGAGTTTGACCAACAATGAGAAATGGAGTCATTGTAGTTATCATGGAGGGTCCACATGCTGAGAAATTTGAAATTAAAAATGTGAGCATAACTGGAGAAGCTAGCTTCAATGAACAATCGATGGTGTTGAGATCTTAATCTAGGGATGGAATACTACAATAAAATTGTGATTTAGCTTTGGCCAAAATCCCTCGTTAAAAGGTAGAAAATCGACGCTAAAGGGTGTTAGCGTCGACTTAGCGTATGGGTCAGACTGACACCTCAAAGCGTGAAGCAAAACGTACGTTTAGTCAACGCTAACTTTAGCGACGGCTAAACAAAATGATAAATAGATTCTAAAACACAAAAACTAATGTTTAGATTTAACTTTGGCCATTATCGACACTATAACTTATGTAGTGTTGTTTTCATTTAATTAGTGTCGGCCATGAGCGGCACCACTATCTAGTTATAACCATATATTATCGGTCCTAAGAGACACTATAATGTTGTATACATTTATGTAGCGTCGATAAATAGTGACACTAAATTTCTATATATACCCATGTAGTGTCAGCCAAAGTGGACGCTATATACCTTATATGTGTTCCGTAGCGTCGATTTCTAGAAACATTATCTAGTTATCTATCTTCGAAGAGACATTCATAACAGATTTAGAGGTTAGCCAAAGATGATTTCCAAAATCTCTATCAAGCCTTCTTTCTACCAAACCATTGTCATGCCTACCATTATGCCATGTATAGAAAGCACCTTTAGTAGGAAAGTCAATCAGGTTGTTTTGATCCGACTAATTCTTGAAAACCTCCATATGAACGTTGTTAGATGTGTGGCTTCCTTTGTGCTCATGAAAGTTATAAATAGAATTAAAATCTTCAATTATACACCAATGCAGAGGATTATTATAAAGTAAGGATGAAAGATCTAACCAAAGACTTCTTCTATTAATGTGACAAGATAAGACATACACAACAATTAAACAAACCTGGATATAGTCTAGCACAAACTTAAAGGAAACATGTTGATCTGAGGAGGTGACAACCTGAGGATCCAACTATTTCCTGCAAAAGCACCAAAGATTTGGAAAAATCTTGGGCCTAATATTGCAAGCAAAAAAAATTAAGACCAAGAGAGTTGAGGTAGTTGTTAGGAAGATCTTGATACTTTATCCAAGGTATCAGCTACAAAGGGAAAATCAGGTTTATGGGTTCTAATGTGATTCTTAAGGGCCAATCTAGAGGGGTTCGAAGCTTAGCATTGTTCACACCATCACAATAGATACCTCAGTTAGTAACAGATATAATATTTAGAGGTACCAAAATCAAAGTCACACTAGGAAGTATACCCACGACACATATCCAAAGCCTAGTCATCATCAGCCTACGTGCACACTGATTAAGATATCTATTGTCAAATTTCAATTATCAAATTCCAGTTATCAAATTTTCAATTATTCAAGTCTCATCAAATTTCAATTTTCAACTGTTAAATTTCAATTCCAGTATCAAAATTCAAACCCGTGTTATTTATCCCCTAGGTTGTGATAAATATGCAAAATCTGCAATACAACTTACTATGTTAGTCTTGAAGCGTTAGCGAGTTTTTTTCAAACATTTTCAACTACTGATTTAGTCCCTTGGAAAAGATAGAGTTGATACCCGCATTATCTAATCCCTAGGTTGTGATAGATGTGCAAATCGGAAATATAACTATTCATATGGGTCCCTGAGCAATGATAAGTTATTTTTCCAAAATTTTCGATCTTATTGGTTTAGTTAGTCCCTTAGAAAAGATAAGATTGATATTCTGTTATTTATCCCCTAGGTTGTGATAAATATGTAAAATTTGCGATACAACTTACTATGTTAGGCCCGAAGCGTTAGTAAGTTATTTTCAAACTTTTCAACTCTATTGATTTAGTCCCTTGGCAAAGATAGAGTTGATACCAGCATTGTTTACCCTCTAGGTTATGGTAGGAATGCAAAATCTACGATGGCGTCCTTTCTCATATCTATTGGTTTAGTCACTTGACAAAGATAGATTTGTTAATCCACGCTCTAGGAATTGATGAGTTATCTGTGTCATCCTTGTCCTTTTTACTTTTTACTAGCTTCATTTTTCAAACTATTTTTCAAAAGTTTTCAAAAAGAGTCTTTGGCCAAATTTTGTGGTCTTCCACTATTTAATAACCCTCCGATCTGAATCGAAGTGTAATTAAATAGGGACAGCTGTCATACTCCAAATTTGTCCGCTCTATTATTTTTAAACTTGATTTTTATATTTATATATAATAGTTTATTTTAAATTATTTATATGTTTTTAATAACAAATATTTGTGTGACGTTCATGTGTTTTCTAAGGCTATTTTATTTTGAATAAATGAATTGACACAATTGGTAAGGAGATAAGGCTTCCAAGTATAAGGTTACGAGTTCGAATTCCACTTTCCTTGTCTTTTGGCACTTTTTCTATTTATTTTAAACTTCTTTTTTTATCTTTGCATTATTCCTAGAAAAATCACAAAAAATTATATTTTTTATTATTTATTTACTATTTTCGTTTTCTTTTATTTATTATATTTTAAAATATCATTTTTTCATTAAAATCATTATTTTATGCAAAAAATAGTTAAAAACCCAAACAATAAATAAAATCTTTTTTCAAATCGTATCTTGCTCAAATCGTATCTTGCGCAAAGTCACAAATTGGTTCAGATTCTTAATCTTGTTGACCAAGATAGAATCACATAATTTGGGCCTCCATATTGATTTTATTTGATTCAATTTATTTATTTTTTTGATGTTTTAACCTAATTTTTCAATCTATAAATAGCCTCTATTTTGACTGTTCAATTCATCAATAATTCATTCACAATATCAACAATCCACCCATAATATCCATAATTCACACACTTTAATTCTCAAACTTTTTTTTTCAAAACTTTTTTTTCAAATCTATCTTCTATTCAAAACTATTTTAGCCAATGATTAAATATGAGGTCACCATCTCTCCCTTTTTATTTTCAATATTTTTATAATTTGTATTTGTTTGTTTTACCGTATGATGAATATTTGATGGTAGTTTATCTTTAAAATCATATTTTCATTAATTTTTCCAAAGACCAATTCAGTCACTAAATGTCTTTATATTATCTCACAAAAGAGACTTAACACAACAATCCATCGAAGCTCGGCGTACGCGATTAGAGTCAACTTGACTACTTTAACTTTCCATAACCAAAATGAAAGAAAGTAAACCTATTTTCCTTTTGAAGAGCATATGAGCCTAGGTGTAATAGGGCGGTTCGGGGGGGAGAGTTCAAGCTAACAAGCATCGCAAGTTTTCTGAGTTCAAATAAGGTGATCTGGTGTAGGTTCATCTTCGAAAGGAGCGTTTCCCGCGAGGACAATTTGCTAAGCTCAAGCCTAGAGCTGATGGACCATTCAAAGTTCTTTTATATGTATTAACCCTCATTTACTAATTTTTCACCCTAGATATTTTTCACCATATACATATTTATACACAATTCTTTTACACCACTAACTACAAAAATTTTTGAACATATTCTAACACCCAATTTTACACTTTTTTTTTTTTCAATTTCCAAACCTGTAAAAATACAAGTTTCATACAGTCATCGCCATCATATTTTTCTTAAAACTAACATCGCAAACATTAGAACAACCATCTTCATAACATCATTCCACATTATCATCAACATTAGAACAACCTGGGAGAGAAACTCGATAGCCTTTTCGCTCTACGACCGCAACACAATCTCACTGTCATCACTGACGAATAGGTCAAAATTATATTTTCGAGGTGCTCGTTGGGGTTTATTGTCCCATCATATGTTCCCAAGTTAGGAACTTTCTCTAGCCCAAGGGGATGAGAGCGGCCATAATTGCTCGAGACAGTGGCCCGCAGGGGCTATCTTCGTCGCTCCAAACTGGTGATTGTGATGGGGAATGGTCATGCCTCTTGTCGAGGGTTTTCATCACGGTGTGGCGGTAAGTACTATGGTGGGCCTCTCGATGCGCGAGGGCGAATGACGATTATATGTTTGTCGAGTAGCCTTGCTTTTCTTGGCAACTGGGGAGAGTTAATCCGTGCGGGGAGGAGTACGGTTGTGCTTCTTTCCCACCAAGGGTTTCGGCTTCTCCAAAGGTGGGTGTGATACGGTGGGAGAACTGACTAGGGTTTTGCGTTTGTTTTCGCAAATGTTTCGGTTGAGCAAGAGTCGCCACCGACTTTTTATTTTATCCTAAGGAAAGGTTTAAAAAGCACAGCAAAAACCTTTGAGATTTTTCTTGGGTTCGGGGAGTAGATTATAGAAAGGGAAGGTATTAGCATCCTTTCTATCCATGGTTATCCATGGGCTCTTAGGTACTTGCTTAGATCAACTTGCCTTGGTTTTCAATTGTTTGAAATGGTGCTTGGTGTGTGGTTTTGAAAATGTTTTGAAAAGATGCCTTGTATAGGCTACCCTTGTAACAATTCTTTACTCGAATGTTTTACAAGAGGTGTTTTGTCTTTTGAAAAGATGTTTCAAGGTTTTTTGAAAGTTTGTTTTGAAAGTGTGAAGTGTGGTTTGAAAAAATAGGTAAGTGTTTTCTTTGCAAATTGGCAAGTATTTAAGAGTTATCTACCCTAAAGTTTTCTCAAAGATTTTTGTTATGTTTTAAACCTTTTGACAATTTTGTTCCACCATTGCATTTGGTGGACAATCTTGTATTAGGAGGTGAAAGGGACAGGCGCGGGTCATTGTTTAGACCATAATTGCAATAGTGTTAAATGTCTTTGGGCAATTTTCTTTGAAAGGGACTTGATCATTTGTTTAGGCAACATTTTGAGGGACTTATGATCATTTGATTTGTTTGTTTTACCCAAAGAAACCTAACATACAACATGGTCCAATTATTTGAAGGCAACAAAGTGGAATACCCTAGGGGTACAAGTGTGAGATGTGTTGTCCATTTTCATGCTTGTTTATCTTGAGATTAGGTCAAACTATTTTGTTCATTTTATTCGCATACAAACCCTAATTCTAGCATGGTATG